ACTCTCAAAGAAATACACAACCTAAACATTGGCAAACTTTCAGGGATTATTTAGATGTGATTTAAATCATTACCTCTTCAGAGGAGATGGAGGTGCTCTCACTTGCTGCATGGTGGTTACTTTCTAGTTAAAAGAGACTGATTTTAGTAAAAGAGAAAATCCTTAAAACTTATTGCACTGAATTCCATCTCTGATAAATTACTCATTTATGCAAAACCACAAACGATGAGGTGCTGCTCTCAATCGACTTCCTGACTAGAGAAGAAATTTTTTGTCCTTTTTTAGTATTTCACAGTAAGAACATATGGAGAGAAGCATGTTTTATAACATGGTTAGTTTGGTTTCTGCAGCAATGTCACCACACTCACTGCAGTCTATAATTATAAAAAAAAATTTATTTCATGCCACCTTCATAGGGTTTGAGAGGAACAATCTTTCTGGGGAAATCAGTTCAAAAAAAATGGTTAAAAATTAATGAAAGAAGATGCAACAACTATAGATGATCTACCTAAATAATAAAACTATGTAATTGAACACCTAGATGATACTACTAAATAAAACCATCTAAATCTATCTGCAGATCTAGAATTGACCCTGTGTTTCATTTGGGAAAATAAGCAGTTCTTCAGTTCTCTTTGGAAGGCGTGGGCTAGTACAATGCGACTAGGCTGGTCCTCTACAGCACCCCTGCTCCCCATGCACCCAGTTCGTTCAGGTTTCTAAGAATTCCAGTTACACTGAGCATGGAGTGAGTATGATCTTCTGGGGAAAAGGTCAGAGGGTGTGTCCATTGTGTGTGCAAACTCTACAGGGATTACTGATGGGCAGCATGCAAATGCACACATTGCTGCATTTTACTCTCACCTATATGAAGCTATATGTGTAATCTCATTAAAATAATTCCACAGACATTCACAAATAAGTAGCTCTTAGCAAGAGGAAAGCCCATTTCCCACAGTGCCTGTGAAACCTTCACAGCTGGGAGAAAAAAAGGACCTAAGTGATTTTCCAAGGGATGTCATTCTGGCAGCATGACCAAGTTCAATTTATTTCTTTTTTTTGCTCTTCACCTCTAGATCCCAGTAGCACCTCTTGCCATTTCTTCTCTATCTTCTCTTTGCACATCAGGAAGACATCTTCCAAGTGCTGCATGGCGTTGGCCAGGTCTGGGTTGGTCTGGATGGCCACGCAGTCGTAGGCCATCCAGGTTGCATGCACTGCAAACACAACAGCTATTACTATTTTCTGGACAGGAAAAAGCAATGACTGATTCAATAAACAAATTCAATAAGCAAATTCAATTAATAAAATGAATTATTATCAGTTCAGATCTCGGAGAAGGATAAAAAAATAGAAACTGCCTCCATTAATACTAGATTAAATAGACTGTTCAGTATTACTTCTTTATAAATGTCTCAAAATAGTTAAAAATGAAAGTACCTGGATGTAAATTGCAAAACAAGGATGGACACTTCATCTAAAAATGACAGCAAAACAGGTAATCAAATGGAAAGGGTCAAGAGAGTGTTTAAAATATATGAATATTATATAAGGAATCGTCCCTCCAGACCTTTTACAGCTTTTGTTAGGTGAGGAAGAATAAGATCGAGGACATTGCAACAGAGATGAAATATTTTAAGGACAACTTAAGTAATGAAATTGATCTTGAAATAATCAGTACCTTAAATAATGGAATTGACTTTGAAATAACAAGTATCTGACAAAGCTGAGCAAATAGTTTTAGCACTTATGTACTAATGTATGCTTACATACTTTCCCTTTTATTTTACCAAGCATTCACTGTAGTACACTGACCTGAGAGGTGATATGTATCCATTTTTTAGAATTAAGTCTTGTTTTCTAGACTATATTTCAATAATTGTACGTTAAACACCTTAGTAATATTTCTGGTTTTAACCAACACTCTCAACTAAGTATGCATCACCTATTGATTTTTAATTCTGTCCATCTGAACCACCTGAATTATTTGCATGCTTTTTCACAATTAAGAACACGAGGGCATTAGTTGATGGTGATTGTTTTAATTACATTTCTATCACACAGAAGTTTACAGAATAAATATAAAAATAAATCTTCAGTGTCTTTAGTACAAAAATCCATATAGTTCCTAATAAAGACCTATACCTGTTAGTTTTTCCATTTCCTCCAGAAGTTCCTCCATATCTGTGTTAAAGTTCTCCACCATCTTTCCCCTGTTATAATAGCTTCCTTCCTGAGATTCTGATTCAGCCATCTATAAGGAAACCAGGGATCTCCTGCTTTATTTTACTCTAAAGTGAATTGATTTTCATAGTTGAGACAAAGTAACATTGCAATAAAAAATATAAGCGTATACTTTTTAGGTTTACATGTGAATTCAGTAAGAATCTGACCTTAAGGTTACTGGTGATCTGTATGCTGCATATTACTTGTGACTCATTTTGAAATTAGTAGAAAGAATTAGCTAAAATATGCTGTGCCTGTGCAAAATAAATATTTTTGGTATCAGTAATAAAGATCATTGTGTCAAACCCTTCACTAGCAAACTTCATTACCCTGTTACAGTTGTCTTCCAGCTTCTCTCCCAAATACTCTGACCCAGGGCAACTCCTTATTTTCAAAGTTAGTTGTAAAATCCCCATTTATTTCACAATTGCAGTCTCTAGCCAGTTAAGTACAAACACTGAGTTCTGTTACCATAGAGGCAGATAAGTGAATATGATTCCCTAACCTCTGCTTAGTTGTAGGGAATGAAATTCTAGGATGTAAAAATGCTTGGGGCAAGGATAGAGTTTTAGAACCTTATTGTTCACCGAAAATGTGACACAAAGCATTGCCTTTAATTTCCTTTTCTGAAAACCATCTATGGCTGGGACGGCACTGTGAAGAAAGAGACGGAAGAGCTTCAGTGCAGTGACTTTATGCATCACACTGCAGAGTTTTTATCCTATGATTTTTCAGACTCAGTAGGTATCTGTTTTCCGGGATTTATTGCCGATATGTGCAGAAGGAACGCGACCGGTGGTTTGTAATGGCTTTACAGCATTTTAAACCGGTGCCAAACCTCGGAAGCTAGGTGTTCCCAGTGTCTCTTCATACATCGAGGTAAAACTGAGGTTAACCGGGCATCCCCCTTGCCCCGGAGCCCTTAGAGAGCCCAAGCCGCGGTGCTGTCCTACACCACGGGCACCTTTCGGCCGCCGCCACGGCCGCGTCCCCCGGGGCCGCACCGCCGCCCGCCCTCACGGACAGCGCGGGCGGTAACGGGACACCAAACACTGCACGGCCGCCGTGCCCGCCCCTCCTGCCACCTCATTGCCCGGGCTCGCGAGCTCGGTTGATTCTGTGTTTCACACAACACAATCGCTTGTGAGAGTTCGGCGGCCGGGGCAGCGGCGCGGTTGGCGCTCCGCGGCGCCGGGCTGTGGCTGTGCCCTGGCACCGTGTCCCGTCTGCTCCTCGCTTCCAGCGCCGCCTCGGCCGGCTCTGTGCGCCATCACAGACAGAATCACTAGGTTGGAAGAGACCTTCAAGATCATCGAGTCCAATCCATGCCCTAATACCTCAAGTAAACCATGACACCGAGTGCCACATCCAGTCTTTTTTAAAACACATCCAGGAATGGTGACTCCACCACCTCCCTGGGCAGACTATTCCAGTACTTTATTACTATTTCCATAAAAAACTTTTTCCTAATATCCAGCCTATATTTCCCTTGACGCAGCTTGAGACTGTGTCCTCTGGTTCTGTCAGTTGCTGGCTGGAAAAAGAGACCAAAACCCACCTGACTACAGCCATCTTTCAGGAGGTTGTAGAGATTGATAAGGTCACCTCTGAGTCTCCCTTTCTCCAGGCTAAACACTCCCAGCTCCCTCAGTCGTTCCTCATAGGGCTTGTGTTCCAAGCCCTTCATCTGCCTCGTTGCCCTCCTCTGGATGCGCTCAAGCATCTCAACGTCCTTCCCAAACTGAGGGCCCAGAACTGGACACAGCACTCGAGGTGTGGCCTCACCAGTGCCAAGTACAGGGGAAGAATGACCTCCCTGCTCCTGCTGGCCACACTATTCCTGATACAGGCCAGGATGCCATTGGCCTTCTTGGCCACCAGAGCACACTGCTGGCTCATGTTCAGCTGGCTGTCAGTCAATACCCCCAGGTCCCTTTCTGCCTGGACACTGTCCATCCACACTGCCCCCAACCTATAGCGTTGCAGGGGGTTATTGTGGCTAAAATGTAGGACTCGGCACTTGGACTTATTATACATCATCTTATTGGGTTCTGCCCATCCATCCAACCGAGCAGTGTGTGTGGTTTGGGTGGTTTCTACGTATGCTACAGCTGTCCCGCAGATAGAGGATGGTTATGTTAATAGAACTGCCAGTCTGCTGCCTTTCAGTGTGCTTAACCATAAAGAAAAAACACAGAGAAGGACATAAGACATAAAGAAAAAGACAAAGGATGTTAAACAGAACCGGGCCGGCCGTGCTAGGCAGCGCAGCACCCCTGTGCCCCGTGCCCGGAGCAGAGGAGTCCCACCCTCCGTGCCCTCATCTCCGCCGCAGCACGGACCGCCCCCGCGCACGGCGAGCCGCCGGAACTGCAGTCGTGGCGGGAGCGGCCGCGCTAGATGGGCTGTGGTGTCAGGGACTTTCCTGACAGTAACCCAGAAGGTACATCTTAACCCCTGAATTTAAAGCTGGATGGAGCTTCTGCTGCTTTTCTCAGGGAGTCTCTCCCTACCTGCGGGTGGAGTGAGACGTCAGACCAGGGCCGGCAATGAGGGCACAACGAGCAGCAGGTTCTCGGCTAAGGAGAGTAGGTTTATATTGGATATAAGGAAAAAATAGTTGCCAGTGAGGGTGGTGAGAAGTTGGAACAGGTTGCCTTGAGAAAGTTGTGGATGCCCATCCCTGGATCAGGGTCAGGCTGCATGGACTAGTGGAAAGTGTCTCTGTGTCTCTGCCCATGGTGGGGGGATTGGAACTGCATGGTCTATGAAGGTCTCTTCCAAACTGTTCTGTGATTCTATGATTTTGTATCATTAAAACAAAAAAAGCCAGAGAAGGTGTTTGCAGGACTAGGCAAAATCAGGTTAGAATTGTTCTGCAGAAAGAGCAACAAGACTCAAGGTTTGTCAAGAGTAATAGATAGGAATTACCTGGTTTATAGCAGAGTCCCATTTCTGAATTGCCCGTGGTCCAAGTCATGTCCCATTCCAGATCAATATCCAAACCTTGAATGGTTTGGGCTGTCTCTTGTTACCCTTTTTCATCCTCACAAATACAAACTTAGTCCTGTTTTTAAATTATTTGGTATATTAGTATTCTTATTATGCAGCAGACTTACTCATCTCTTGCAATCACCACTCATTTCACTGCCAACTGAGTAGCTGGTTTGAAGATGAGACTTTATCTTCGAAATAGAATTAAGTATTTATTCACCTAGGTTGCATGAATGCAACTTTATCACAGAGCATTGTGTTGCTAAAGTTTTGCAGGGGTTCAAAAGCAGCTGAGTAAAATCCCTGAATAGAGGGAGTGCTAGCAAATTACTGGACCTTTAGCTGGCTGATGAAGATTGATGCCTAATCATTAGGTCATTTCAGTTTTCTACTTTATTTCTTTTCATATGGTGCAACCTTTGGAAATTTCAAATAACAAATACTGCAGGGCTGAACTGAAAATCACAACAGAATCGCCATTTAAAAAATAGGCTTGTTATTTTTCTTGATTAAGAAAACATGCTACTTTGAGAGGCAAAGCTCATGAGGCAGAGCAGACACTTGAGATAATGATGGGAGGTTTTCTTTCACTTCAAGATTGTTCCTGTGCTGTGCCCTGTTGTGCTTATCTGCAGAAACTACATCAAGGGTGTATGTCCCATAAAAGTGCTGCCCTTCCTCTGCATGGCCCCTTCCCCAGCCACATCTTGTTCTTTCTCACAGCGTGCTGTTACCAGCGATCCGTGGTTGGCTCTGCAGCTGTCTGGCTGTTGTTGTTTGAGACTTACACATTAGCCCCTTATCTTCTGAGTTTCTACACCTCTGTGGGCTTAAGTTGACCAAAAGATCAGTCACAATTTATCAGCTATAAGCCACAGTTTTAAGTCATATTAGAAGGTGAAAATAACTCAAGAAGTTCACTGCTTAGTCCCAGAACCCATCCTGAGGCTATGGTGCAGCAGCTGTGTGCAGTTAAGATAGTTTGTACGTGTGCTACAGCTGTCTTGGAGATGAAGAGGATGGTTATGTTAATAAAACTGCCAGTCTGCTGCCTTCAGTGTGGTTAATCATAAGGAAAAAAACAGAAGGATAGAGGATGTTAAACAAGTAATGTTTTCTTTGTGGATGCACATACAAGACAAGACTTAGCAGGAAAAGTCTGTTTTTCACAGGACAATAAATTACTTCTGCCACTTCACTAAGCAGGGAAAAAGGCATGTTGATGAATGAGGAGGATTGTATAGGCTAAAGCCTGAACTCTGAACCAATAAAATATCCAACCAGTCAGACTGGGAGCACAACAGAGACACTGGTGGGGGAAATTAAAAGCTGCAGCCATTGCTGCTTTTGCATATGCTTACCCTGAATATTTAACCCTTTGCTGTTGACACTCTCTTCCACAGTAGGGAGGTGTAGAAACTGAAAGGAGGAAGATTTTCAGTTGTCATATTTTTAAACAGGAATCTGAAAAGGTTTTCCTCCAGGTGCCCTTGAGGAGGGTGCCTGTAGAATGTAACTCATTTCAGTAAGAAACTCATTTAAACGAGGAACTGTTATTTGCATTTTACTTACTGTTTAATGGAGAATGAGGTATAAGACAGATCCCCTACTCCTTCATGGAGAAAACACTACAGACAGTCAATGCAAATTAGTACCAGAATGAGAGGAAAGGTGAAATCAAGAGTCTAAACTTACATTCTGCAGCAGTAGTGATCTTTCTATTTCAAGAAAATTTTCAATCTAGAAGATGTCTCTCCTGGTTTCTCAGGGGATAAAAATCCATATCACAGGACTATTTTGCTGATACTACTTTGCCCACTCCTGCCAGTGTCTGTAGAGAGATCAAGTAATGAAAAAGTCATTCCTGTTTTCACCATTTTGCACACACGGGTTAATGCCAGCTGGAGGAATAATACTAAGGAGAAGTCTCTCTCAAATTAACTATTGTCTTTTGATACCTAAAAATATTGACTGTGCCACAACTAAAATTTTCCCCACAACAACATAATTATATGCAGCAACAAAATGTTAATAGGAGTAGGTGAGTTTGGCCAAAACAGTTGGCAGAGATCACATCATCTGCTGCATCTTCCCCAAGCCACCTGCATCGAGTTTCTGAGTGTGAAATGAAGTTTGGCTCTCAACAAGAAGTAGGTCTCATGTTGTTTACTCTTGAAATGCGCTGCCTCTCACTCCTATGAAGTAGGTAAGCAGATAATCTTGTATAGACTCACATAAGCAGGACTCAGAAATCTGAAACTCTCAACACAAGATTTATCAGTGATAGGGGAGGGCAGACCGACAGCTGGGGCTTGCATACATGGATTGGTTGTGAAGAAAGTCCCCAGAACTAAAATGCAGAGGTGTGATGAAGATTAGACCCCACGGCTGCTGAGGACACCAGCGAAGCACAATGGAGACCCCCAGGCCATCATGGCAGGAAAAGGTCACAGGGAAGTTCAGGAATATTGTCTGGTGTGTTTGGGGAGCTCAGAGTGATGTAAGGAAAGGGCAGGGGAAAGCCAAACTTTCCAGAATTCTGGCAGAATGCATGAGCAGCCTGAGCAGGAGGGTCACCAGGGGGCAAGGCAGAATGTGAAAAACTTTGTGTTTCTACTGTCTGCTGTAGCATGTTTTGATATCGTTAGTCTTTTATCTCTTTCTTCATTTGCAGGCTGTGTTCCCGATGGAATGCTTTTTCAGCCTCTGGAGTCCTGGGGGTTTTGTGCAGATTTTCTGTCCCAGGAGCCCATTCTTTGTAAACGTGAACCTGTATCCAGAAGCATATGAATTCTGTTTATTACATAAACTGTCCCTCTGTATTGGTGTGCCTTTCAAACCCCACTGCAGGTGCCTGCTGAGGGCTCTTTGTTGTGCCTGTCTGTAGTCAGCCCATGAGCAGCTGGTGTGTGGAAGCTAGGCAGACCTGTTCTGCAAGTGTGTGCCTTCCTGTCAGCTGTGTGTTGGATATCCCTGGGGAGACAGCTGAGGAGACCTAGACCAGCAAAGAGATGAAGCTGGGCGGGACTGGATTAGAAAAATCAGTGAGGAACTTAATCATAAGATTTACAACCCTGCCAAAGTAATCATAGGAGTTACTGGGAGTGGCCTCACAAGCTGGGAACCGGCAGCAGGAGAGCATCAGGAAAAGACAAGCACAGAGTAAGGGAAGTGGTGTCATTCAGGTAAGTGAGAGAAAGCACATCTGGAAGATCAGCCCATGACTATTTATTTCTTAAAAGACTTTTATTAACATAAATGTGACCTGAATTAGAAGGTGGCTGTACTGTAAAGTCTGTATGTCTGTGTGTGTGCATGTACGTACGTGCATGTGCTTACTGCTGGTAGTGAAGCTACTTACAGCCATTTCTGTGATCATAATGGTGTTGGGGTTTGAGGAGAAAAATAAAAGAGGGATGTCCTCTACACACTGTCTGATTTGAATGAAATCGCTCACAGGCATTTTTTAAAGAGGAAGAAATAAAAAAAAATAATTAAGTTTTGTATAAAATTAGTTGCATTTCACTGAAACAGGGTGATGCTATGAATGTGTGTATAAATGTCCAGTCTTTAGTTAAGAAAGGGCTGAATTCAGAAGTAATTATTATTTTACTCCCATCGCTGTTGCTTGATTCTAATGCAGTGATCTCTAACCCAAAGTAGTGCAGATATCTAGTTTTTCCTGTGTTTACCTGTGTGTGCATGAGCTACTGATTAAGTTACAAACAAAACCATTGTTAAATCCACCAAGAAACATCCAAAACTTGGGAAACTAGAACTAAAGTTGTCTACACAGCTTCAGGTGGCTGTGAATTTATGAAAGCAGATTTATGTTTGATTTCTGAAACCATTAAGCAGCAATGTGATGTCATACAGTGTTTTTATCACACAGTAGGTTTTCCACAAGAGGTATATGTATGTGTGGTCCTTTGAAACAAAAATCCTTCATTCTTCTCATGTTCTGTCATAGCTTTTGCTGTCACAGTTTTTCAGAATTTCTGTATTTGTGCTGGGGTTTGATACATGCTTATTACAGACAGCTACCAGCAAAATCTAAGCTCAGTCAGCAGGGAGACATTTTCAAAAGTAGTATATGATTTTGCTTTCATAAAATGAAGCCATAGGTGATAGTGTACTGTTGAAAGTTTGGCCTCTAGACTTTTAATAGCATGCTCATTAAGGCCTTCAGCTTAATGTGTTCCTTGGGTTTTTTTATTATTTTAACTCATTCTTCAGATTACCTGTGAGGAATTACTTTGGGTGGCCTTAATTAATTGGGAATGTTCAAGATATATGTTAATTTTTCAGAAACTATAGTAGTCCATGTCGGCATTAGAAAAAATGTCTTAATCCTCATTCAGGTTCTGTACCATTTCACACTTCTGTACTTAGATTTCCTTATGCAGCACAAATAAATTAATTTTTGTAGATGATCTAAGCAAAACCTAGCACTGTAAGAACTTGCATATCTCCACTGAAATGGTGCCAGTTAGAGCTAAAATTTTTAGCATAAAAGCACAGCAGCACTGAGTCCTCCTGACTAATTTTTCAGTGCAGTAGTAACTGTTAACTTTGCCTGTTTTTTCTGCTATATTGAAAAGGAGCCAAGTTTCCTCTAAGCAACCACCTGCTGAAACAGCAGCCTGGGCCTCATTATTTGCTGTTTTCTCTATGGTCTAGCTCTTCAAAAGTGGTCAGCCTAATTTTCTTCCACTCCCTTAATTTCCTTCTCTAGCAGCTAGCCTAGGTTTAATATGCAAGTATTGCTTCTAATTTTGGACCACCAAAAGAAAATCTTGTGTTTCGGTATCTGATTTTTGAAACGCTTTGTTTTCTTACAGGGTATTACAGGTATCAGCTATTTCAAAAGTGAGTTGTAATACTAAATCTTGATAGCTGAGACAGTGCTACAGCAAGCCACAGGATATTATTTTTAGTCCTTGTTCACAAGGACAGAAGGGACGCTGGTGTGGCTGGTCAGAATTTTCCATTCAGCATAGGTGAAGATGCTGCTTGGTGACCCACAGGTGCCTTGCAGTGAGAGATTAGGTGACTCCATGGGCCAGGGAAACCTTGCAAAAATGACATGGTCTGCCAGGCTGTTGGAAATAGTCAATAAGGTCTTGTGCAGGCAGAAGAGACAGAATATGCAGTCTAACAAATGCATGGCTGAAACCTGTCGGGCTTGTTTTTTTATTTGTTTTGGATGCTGCTTTAAGTAAACGGTGGACAAAGCAGAGGAAAAAAAAATCTCTTTGTTTGCTTTGCAATGATGGTTTTTTCCTCCCTCTTCTCTTCCATTCAATGTCCACAACTGCCCACTCCTTTGGTTTCCTGCTGTTTTGGTTCCCGTAATTCCCTGGTAGCTCCTCTCCCTTCCTGCTGCACAGCCAACACAGTGCGCTTGTGCAGAGCAGTTGCCAAAGCCTTGACCGTTGACCATGTTCAAAGGTCAGACAGGAGGGAAATAATAAAAGCAGCAGTGAAATGGTAATGGGAAAAGCTGTAGAGCAAGGTTTTGCCACTGCAAGAAATTGAGTAGAAGACGTAATGTTTAAAGATTTGTCTTTTATCAGTCAGGCGGTGTGCTGAACTGCAGTTACTGAATTACTCAGCTGTACTTTATGTGCCTGTAGTCACTTTACAGCTGGTCCTCACAATTGGTGCATGAAAAACAAGTGTAAGAATATTTTTATAATAAAGTGGTATGCAGTTAACATGGGAGAGGATGTCTGGAGAAATAATTGCATTAAATCCATGTCAGCTCATAGCACTTTTTAAATGGTCTAATGAAGATCTAGATTAATCTTAGCCTTTATTTTTGTCATATTTAATTAATCAGCTGTTTCTTTAGACCTTTAGCTAATCATTACACAAGGATTTATATGTTTGCACTGATGATGGGAACTGCTCGTAGCTTACAAATTAGACATATTCAGGGGCAAAACTGTATATTTGCTGTGAATATGGACAAGTTACTATCCTGAACATGGCAGGAGCAAGCAGCAGGCAGATTCTGTGTGGGCAGTATTCAAGCTGTCTGTTCCCATATATTCCATGGGCGTCTTAAGTCTTGATATTTCTTTTCAGTCTTCACCACGAAGTTTGTCACTCAGGCTTCTTAAGTCTTAGTCCTGGCACTTTAAATAACATAATTTGAACTTAATGAGAACTTCAAGGCCATAAAACGTCAGAGAGCATTGATTATTTTAGGGCTTTACAATTATGTGAATTAGCTTCTGCTATTGCTAAGGGGATGGTTCCATGTGAGAATGAGTGACAGGGGACTGGAAAAATCACAGTAAGGCTTCTGCTGGCACACAGTGCTTGTGGATCTGTGCTGACACACAGGGAGTGGTTTCACACTACAGCTTTAGGTGAATTAGCCATTCACCCCTGACTAATCCCAGCCACTAAAATGGCAGGAAATCACCATGGCAAAAGAGCAGTGGATTTTTCCTGCTAGGTTAGTGGTTTGAATCAATTTACCATGTGATCAATTGCACAACTGAGAGCAAAACAAGCAATGAGAAGACAGCAAAGACAGGGAATAATTCCTTCTTTTGGCATTGGTGAACACTTAATTCAGCTCAGCTACATTCACATTCAGTATTTGGGTTTCCTGAACTGGTTTAAGCAGCTCCCACAGATGCCACCATCTAGCTGCTTGTTCCTGTCCCTGTCCCTGTGTTGCCCAAGTGTTCATCCTGTTGGCAAGTGTGCACAGAGGAACAGTGTTGGTGTAGGATGAGAGCTAATTAACCTGTCACTGCTGCCAAGCTGTGGAACTGCTGTGCCACATGTAGTGCACCAAGTAGTCTGCTAGGAGCTCTTTGCAAGTGCAGGTGACTGTAATGTAATTTCTGCTAAGGTTTTGCCCTGTATTTCCCATTGTCTAAGAGCAGCTGCTTGTGCTATTTTTAGCTACTGTGGTCTTCCTTGTATATTTAGCTTTGACATCAGGATTTGGGTTCAGGTTGAGGGTCAGAAGGCTCTGCAGAGGGATCTGGACAGGCTGGATCCATGGGCTTAGGCCAGTTGTGTGGGGTTCAACAAGGCCAGGTTGTGGGTCCTGCCCTTGTGTCACACCAACCCCCTGCAGCTCCAGGCTGGGGCAGAGGAGCTGGAAAGCTGGGAAAGGCCCTGGGGGTGCTGGGGACAGCACTGGACAGGAGCCCAGGTGTGCCCAGGGGGGCAGGAGGCCAATGGCACCTGGGCTGTGGCAGCAAGGCCAGGGCAGTGACTGTCCCCTGGGCTGGCACTGCTGGGGCCACGCCTCAGATCCTGGGCACTTCTGGGAACCTCAGGACAGGAAACACATTGAGGGGCTGGAGCGTGTCCAGAGAAGGGAATGGAGCTGGGGAAGGGTCTGGAGCACCAGGAGGGGCTGAGGGAGCTGGGGGGGCTCAGCCTGGAGAAAAGGAGGCTCAGGGGGGACCTTCTGGCTCTGCACAACTCCCTGACAGGAGGGGACAGCTGGGGGGGATTGGGCTCTGCTCCAGGGAACAAGGGACAGGACAAGAGGAAACAGCCTCAAGTTGTGTCAGGGGATGTTTATATTAGATCAGGAAAAATTTCTTTGAGTCATTAAACATTGGGATGGGCTGCCCAGTGAAGTTGGTGGAGTTACCATGCCTGGAAATGTACAAAAAGCCTGTGGATGTGGCACATGGGGGCATGGTTTAGTGGTGAACATGGTGGTGGTGCTGGGCTGACTGTGTGATTTGATGGTTTTCATGATCTTTTCCAACCTTTACAACTCTATGAATTCCAGTGAATGGAATTCAGTCTGTGTAAAGGAAAATTTCAAAAATCCAGTGGAATAAACAAGCTGATATTTAGTAAAAATTGCACAAATTCTCTAATGCAAATTCTAAATTGAGTAACACAGTGTATGTGTGCACATGATCTAGACAGCACTGATCTTGGTACAGTGTTAACCCACAGGCAAGGAAAATCAGAATGCCAGTAAGGCACAGATTTTGAACCTTTTAAGATATTTTTGTTTCCTTTGAAAAATGTCTTAATCTAATAAAATTAAAATGTCTTAATCTAATAAAATTAGTTGAGCACTGTCAGTAGTCCTGCTCTGTGTTGAGTACGCACATGAACATGTTAGTTCCACATAACTTTCATGTCTTCCATTGCAAAAAAATATTAAATGTATAACGTGAGTTCTGTGGATTTCTGAGTTACCATTCTCCTTGTGAGGATAGGAATGTAAGAACTGCAGTGATGTTACTGTTAAACAAGTAAGCTGCAGAAACAGCCTAGTCCAGGAATTTATTTAGTCTTGACCTGAAAAGTAGCACTGAAAGGCACTTCAGAATTACCTTACTGAGCAAAACTTCTTTTTCTGCTTGCTGAGTATTGTGAGAGGATAGAGAGGTAGAGTGTAAGTGCGCTTCTGTAATCAGTCTTTTCCATTGCTTACACCTCCATAAGCAACCACAGCACATGGGAGTGCCAGGGCAAATAAAGTGCCAATGACTGCCATTGTTTTCATTCCTAGATCCCATGGTTCTGCCCTGAGTATGGTTGGAAAACATGAGTGCCACCCACTGGCATCACGGCTGGGAGGTGCATAAAGAGTAGGGAGGAATCTTCTCTACACACAGGGACCAGTGTAGACATGGCTGCTGTGTCAGAGCTTTTTCCATGGATCTTTGCTGCTCTCTCTGTAAGCACAAATTGGGATATGTGTGCTTTTTTGTGCCTGTGCTTGCATGGTGTGTAAATGTCAGTGTGCATTCTAGTAAGCACCTGTACAAAGCCATTGGCAGTTTTAAGATGGAGCTTGGACTGTTCATGACTTATACAATATGATTACTGGCTAGTGGTCCTGAAGTCTGTGTGTACCTGAGAATGAAGGAAGCCAGGCCTGGTCCTGTGTATTTGTGTGTAAGTGTGTGTGTGTGTGTTAGAGCTGAGGTGGGTTGTTTCAGTGTGCTTGCTTTCAGAGTGTACGTGAAAAGCTTGGTATTATTGCTGTGTTATTACTCCTTTGACTGGATTCCTGGTGTAGCCAGCCTTGGAACTAGGTAAATCTGCTAGCACATTAAGAATGAAATTAAGTAAAAAAAAGGAAACAGACTTTTTGTGATACCTTAAAGCACAGGTATATTCCATTTTCCTCTCTCTGCTGTCTCTGATGTGCAACTGGTAAAGAATAATTTCACTCACTAATTTTAAGCATGAGAACAAACTGTTAAATTTTTCATCATCAAATTCCATAAAATCAATGCCCTATATTTGCCATTGAGGTTAATTGCCTAAAACGCATAGCTGAAAACAAAGTAGGTGCTTACAGGATAGAAGTCATGATTCCTATAAAATGTTCTAGGTAATACTGTTTGTGAAGATGTTACATTTTGGCAATGTTTATAAGAAGCAGTGACTAAACAAGGTGCATGCTTGTACAGGCTGTGGATTTTCAGCTACAAATGCAGAAGAGTTGCAGATGTTTCAGAATACCTACAGACTTGGCAGTGCCCAGAAGTTGGTACCAGAGAGCCCTAATGACACCTCTTTTTTCTCCTTGTCTTTGTACAGCAACAGGAGGAGTTGTGGCAAGGACTGTAGTCAAAAATGACATTTTCTCTGCATGCTGCTGATCTGTTCACTTGTAATGGACCAGAAGATAAAATGCTGAGCCATTCTGGCATCTTAAAAATGTGTTAGCTAGGAGGATATTAGATGTTCTTTAAATATAATGAGGTTCATATCTATGGATTTTTGTACATATACCAGCCTTTAGGACTAGGGGTCCTCATTTGCTTGTGGAGCACTGTAGAACAAGCTTAACCCTAAATTCTGTCTGGTCATGCAGTGCATCATCCATAGGACGTGCTAGTGCATATCCTGCGTCATTCTGTAAGCCTTTAAATCCCAGTGCTGCTTCATGCAGCCACTGATTGTAAGGGGTAAAAAGCTCCCTATTCACTTCACTTCACTTGTTGCTTCATCATCATCCTTTCTCCTAATAAACTTTGTTATTATTCTTTACATCTGTGCAGGAAGTGGGGGTTGGAGGCTTGCTTGCTTGTAACTGAACATGGCAGGGGATGTGAAAAGATTCTCACGGATGCTTCTGGAGTGCAATAGCAATGACAAGCTATGTGGTAAGATTCACACATTCCTTTAATAAGATTTCACATGCTTGCAGGAAGGCCAGGTTCGCTAAAAAGTGTGCCAAGCCTTTTCTCTTCCTCCACTGCATCCCAGCCCACACAGAAAGATTTGATGGAGCTTTCTCTGCGTTGTGTTTCAGGGAAGAAATGTTTATGGGGATGAAGCCTCTGTGGCTGGGTTAATCTCACGATTTTAGAGAATTCCTACTTCAAATGAGGTGTACAGCAGTCATTAAAGATTCCCTGCTGCTTCCCAAAGGACCAGTTTTGTAGGATTTTGATTTCATGACTTTTTGCCATCTTTTGGAATGGAAAAAATGGTCTTGACCACCTCCAAATCTGGGGACATGAGAAAGCTAGTTACCTTCACAAGCCTTGCTAATTGCAATGTCTTCCAGTCAAATTCCAAAGGTGTCCACACCTAGTTTCCTTTAAAATGCTCTGTGTAATTTTACTGGAAGGAGCTGGAGCTGTAATTGCACATGATGACAGCAATATCCAGTCCGCATCCCATCTCCTTGTTGTCCTGCTTCCAGTGCTGCTCTGTTTCACTAGTGGATGTGACTTCAAATGGCTACAATTCCTGGCCTGCGTATTAAAGCATCTAAATAAGTGACCTTAGTTGTGGGAGTCTTAGTGATTTCATGCAGTTTAGGTACTCAGCACCTTTGAAAAATAAGGTGGCAGCACTAACAGTGTTCAGCTATTCCAGAGGATGGACCACACACTTCTGGGGTTGAAAGTTACTGAAATGGGTTGTTGCTACATGGTTATACAGAACCAAGTGTGCTGCTTACTCCCTGGTTTTCCATTTTCTTTCTCTTCTGGCAGTTGTGTGTGAATATCAAACAGAAGTGATCATTGTCCCAGTTCTCCTGGTGGGAGTTTTTGTCACTGTGCTCACTGTGATCCTTTGGCTCCACTGCCGCAGCCTGCGAGCAAAGCAGGAGCAATCAGCACCAACCGGATCCCAAGGTAAAAAAATGCTTTTCAACCAGAGGAAAGAGTATTGGTTTCACAGCCAGAAGCCAATTCCATTTCCCCATCACTTGAGCTGTTAGGCAAAACCGTTTATGAGGATCCTGTCTGGTATTCATCAATCCAGTAAACATTAGAAAAATTGTGAAGACTGATTTACTTCATTTTGCAGTGTTATAGTAGCCTCCTTGAGCCAGGTCTCATAAGCTCTTGGAGGTCTATTACACACCCAAGATAGCTCAGCTACCTTTGGAGGCATAAAATCAGCAGGATGGCTTCTGTTGCAGTGTTGGAAACAAAAAGGTTTAATAAAAGGCAAAATAGCAAATAGAGAAAAACCAAGCCAGGTGCAGGAGGTTCTTGCTCCTGGTAAAAACACCTCACAAAAGTGATTAGTTTCTTTGTTCATTTCTTTTTCTAGTAAATTGCTCAGGTGGGACTTTTTGACTTCTGTCCAGTTAGCTATCCTTAAGTTTGAGGTGAAGTCCCCTAGGCCTATGAGATGCCTTCTCACCTAATCAAGGAGAGAAACTTCTGGGCTTCTTTCCTTTTTAAGGGGACAATGGATAGTTTTGTCACTCCATCAACAGGGGGCACATTCCTACATTGCAGGAGCAGTAGTGGAAGCTAAGAGAAAATCTAAAGCATCATGCCATGTAGGCTGTTTAACATGCTGTGGTAACATCACAAGAGCTGTGAAGTGTATTTATGTAACAGCACCTGAAGGCTGCTGCAAGGAGAGTTTTACTGGGGTAATTATGAATGGTAGTAATTTTGATGTAGATTACTCCTAGTTAATCCATTTTGTATACTGCCATTTAAGAAATTTAATTTCAAGCTGCTGTCACCCTCTTCCTTTGGAGACAACATGAAGTAGAACAGGGTGAGGGAGTAGTAGGTAGTAGAACAGGGTGAAGTAGAACTGGTGAGGGGGTAGGGAAAGGCTTGTTGGTATGCGTGTGGCTGTGGAAATGAAAATACAATTCTGAACTAATTTTGCATATGCCAAGGGAAACAGATCTTGAGCCTATATTAAGAGAAATACTTGAGAACTGGTAATAAAAGAAAATGTTCATTGCTTGAGCACGTGGGAATGAAGTCCAAATGTGTCTTATCTATTAAGGTTATGTAGTTAAATGTGGGAGAAATTTCTAGACTGGTTCTGTCTTTTCATCAAATAGAGTGGGAGATAAATTCTTTGTCCTCTTCAGGGGCCAGGATAAGTAGGATACAATAACAGTTCCTTACTTTGCCCTGATTTCTGAAACACTGTGGAGCAAAAATTAAAGAGCATGGAAGGATGAGCATTGCCATCTATTACAAGAGTTCATCTGTCTGCTTTTATGCCTCATATGTATTTGCTTTTGTCAGTGACAAGAAAGAATCAGCAGGAACCCTGTGCAACAGAGAACCGCTACATCCAGCTGAGTGAGAGATCTGTGGAGAGCCTGCTAAATTCTGCATCCTTGACTCTGAAAGAATTAGAGATACCACGAGAGAAACTCTTACCAGACACCTTGCAGCTGATAAAACGTGGGAGCTATGGGAGCATCTACAGAGCACAGTTGGAAACTGGGAACTCTGGGAAGACTAAGACTGTGGTATTGAAAGCCTTGCAAGGTGTGGCCCCTGGTCAGGATCCATTTTGGTACAGTCTGTATCCCAGACATGGTGCTGGGCAGAGCGTTGCCATCAATACTGGGCAAGAACAAGCTATGTTCAGTACAGTAAGTCTGAGATGTTCCTGTAGGAATGTCTTGGTAGTATTAAAAATTGATGATCATGTTGGTTTTAGCTGTCAGCCTGCTGTTTGCTGCTTTCATTTGTTGTTGGTTTGGATTTTTTTAAATTTGTTTTCTTTTGTTCTCTTAGATCCAGCTAGTCCCGAGAAAGTAGAGGATTTCTTGGGAAAGATTAAATTTCATCAAAATCTTGGCCATCATGAGAACCTGGTTGAATTGGTTGGATGTTGTGTAGACCAGCTCCCACTTTATATGATCATGGAAGATGTGTCTCTTGGTGACCTGCTGACATTTCTGTGGACATGTCGGAAGGTGAGTCAAAAGAAGTGATGACAGAATAGCTTCTTGAGTTCCTTAGGTACATATCTATCCCTAAGTCATAAATTATTTTTTATCTCTCCATGCATCCCTCTGTATAAATCAAAACTATTTCCATGCTCCAAAGAAGTTCTACACGGGTCCTACTTGGCAGACCATTGAAGGGCATTGCAGGCACTGGAATTAGAATGAATTCATACAGCCACCTGAATTTCTAAAGTTTTCAATCATGTCTCACTCCAAATGCTTTTAAGAAAGCAGAGCAGTTACAACACAGGGGAAGGTCATGGGATGATAACTAGTTGGTAAAATACAGGAAGTAGAGACTATAAGAATGAAAGGTTGGTACTTGCACTGAAGGGAGGTCAGCTATCTAGGGCATGGTGCTGTTCATTCTATGTATTAATAACCTAAAAATGGGATGACAGTGACGTGAGGATATTTGCTGATGATTCCAGCCAGTAAAGCCAAGGGCAGACCCAAAGGAATTGCAGAAGGATCTTCCAAGCTTGAGAGACTTGTCAATAAAAAGAACAGATGAAATTCAGCATAGTTAAAAATGAAATAATGCACAGGAAGAAGTTTCATATATGTGAATAATGGCTTCATGTCTGCCCATTGCTGATGAGGTCTGATAGTATGAAAATATGCAGTCCACTGAAAATGTTAACTCAAGCTAAAAAAAGAGCCTAAATATCAGGGGAGGTTTATATTGGATAGCAGGAAGATATTCTTCCCCCAGAGGGTGATGGGGCACTGAACATGTGCTCCAGGGAATGGTCACAGTTGCAAGACTGTCTGAGCTCCATGATTGTTTGGACAACACTGTCAGGGACAGGGTGGGGTTGTTGGAATGTCCTATGCAGGGCCAGGAGTTGGACTCAATGGTCTTTTGGGTCACTTCCACTTCAGCATATTCTGATTCTATGACTCATTGTTACAAAAGGCATGGAAACAAAACTCTGCTGTTACCATGTAAATCCATCACTCTCCTACATCTACATCAATAGAGGATTGATTCCTGTCCTGTTCATCAGAAGGTCCAGGTGGTAGGAAATAAGGCTAGTACGTGTCACATTCAAAACATACAAATGGAGCTGATTCTTCATGATCTGAGGATTTGACTAATGGAATGTCTTGCCACTGACTGCTGTGGATACTGAGTTCATATGAGGTCAGTTATGGAAGGCAATCTTTCAAAGGTTACTGAACATGTTGAAACCATAACCATCTAAGGAAGTTTTTAAGTAGAATGTATCTGTGGGCTGTAAAATGGCACAGGAAGAACATTGTGTGCTTACCTTATTCTCTCTCTCATCTCTCTCTCTTACTCTTACAGGCAGGGTGGTAGGAGAGATGGACTGTTAGTCTCATACCAAGTGCCCAATTCAAGTGTTAGAAATGTGCTTTTCTACTCATCATTCTAATTTATAATATATCTTTTATTCACCTGTGTGGATTGTCATTCTTCACTGTCATTCTGACAATGTCTAACATTAATTTTTCCCCACATGTCAGTTTGCCCACCAGATGTCTGTAATATACTTGTCTTACTCAACACACCCTCAACATCACCCATCCACATCCTCCTACATTTCAGTCAATTTATGAGCAATTGTGAGAAGGAGGAGCATAAGATTAGATAGATTAGAAGGAAACATTCCCCACAATCCTACTGTGGCAAATGCTGTGGCATTTGCTTGAACCAAGGTCTCTTACTTTGTGTCTAGGATGTAATGGCAATGGATGGTATCCCCTATGACCTCACTGAGAGGCAGGTATATGAGGTTGGACAGCAGGTTGCAGCAGCTCTGGTAAGTCTCCTCAGGTTGGCTGCATTTTTTCCTTCTTGCTTGACTGTAACACAAGTTTGTGTGGTGGCTTAAGTCTTCTTGGCCTAAGCACTGAGAATAAAGGCTTTGTTAAAATATGCTTCCATTATGTCGGTGGGCACATGTAACTCCACAATGTTGAAGGTAAGCATAAACTCAGTGAAAATTTTTATCAGTTAAATTTGCTTTTAAAAATCATCTGGTCTTCTTTCTTTTCAAATTTCCCAGGCTTATCTCGAAGAAAAGAACTTGTTCCATGGTGACATTGCTGCCAGGAATGTCCTTCTCCATCACAACTTCACTGCTAAGCTCTGTGGTTTGGGCCTGGCCTATGAAACTCACACACATGGTGCCAGCTCAGTCGTACGGAAAGTGCCCGTCAAGTGGCAGGCACCAGAGAGGCTCCTGAGTAAACCCCCTACCATCAAGGCAGACATGTATGGCTTCATTTTGGGACTAGAAGTTCACCTGTCTCTTTCACTCCTTTATCTATAATTTCATGTCCTGAAATTCACAGGAAGGCAGATGTAGTTTCAGCATAACACTCCACTTTTACAGCTCATTCTTTCTCCTGTCTGCAGGCCATGCCTAGTTGTTTTTATGTATTTAAGCCAGCAAACAGCATCACTTTGTTTTCTTTTCTTGCAGATGGTCTTTTGGAATTCTACTGTATGAAATGATTACATTAGGTAAGAAGATTTAATGCTAATAAAAAAAAAAAAAAAAACAAAACCAAAAAAACATAAGGAAGCAGCAAATTAACAAGATCCAAAATCTCAAATTTTAGAATGTAAAGTTGGGCCATTTAAATGAGCATTCTGTTTTTTTCCAATTTGCAAAGTCTCATCAACTCAAATTTTAGAATGTAAAGTTGGGCCATTTAAATGAGCACTCTGGTTTTTTCCGATTTGCAAAGTCTCATCAGTTCCTTTTAGACCTTCTGTTATTGTAAATTGTGGTAGGAAAAAAACCCAGATTTTGCTAGGGAAGGAAGGCAGTCTTGCACAGAAGCTGCTCTCTGCAACCACTGCCATAGAGTTTTCTACCATTGCTCCTTTTGCTCTTCCAGGTGCTCCACCATATCCTGAGGTGCCACCTTCTGACATCTTATCATACCTGCAGAAACAGAATATTATGAAGCAGCCCTTGAGCTGTCAGCAAGCCATGTAAGCCACTTGTTTTATGGACAATTGAACATGAGATGGCAAAGCTAAATGGAAATGAGACATAGAAAATGAGATTTTACACAAGATTTCTAAGTCTAGACTATACTGAGAGTAATCTGCCAGCTGAGGAGGTTTGTGTCTGCCACATCTCCTTACTGAGTTCTGCTGCATAAAACCTCTGTGGCCAAAACCTTTCTGTCCTATTGAAAATGACACTTGTTTCTGTTTGCTTAAGTGCCCTTGCATTTTGCTGCTCCACTGCTTCCTTGCAAGGTGCAGCACTGCTGGGGAATGATTTTTCTCCTCTAAGTTATAGGATATACTCTGAAGTGAACAAAATATCCAAAGGGAAGATCTAAGGTACATTTCATTGTATGAAGGCATAATTTCATAATTTACAGGTACTGCATCATGAAGTCCTGCTGGCAGTGGAGTGCAGCTCACCGGCCTTCCCCAGCACAGCTCTTGTGCTCCCTGAAAACAGCTATGAAGACCAGCAATGGGCACACAGTGCTGCAGGTACCTGAGCCAGTGGTGCCTGAACTCTATGCTGATGTTGCTGGTGTTGATGTGCATAGCCTGGTGAGGGAATACACAGTCCTCTGAAGGGTCCTTTCATATTTTGGTAAAGAAGAAAGAAGTCTCAGAGTTTTCCCTTTCTAAATATTTTGCAAGCTCAGAACGAGGTGCATATATTGGAAAGGGATCCCTTTGTTCTTCAAACATCTATATAATCTTCAGGCCAGACACAAGAAACTGTTATCGTCATTGTTAAATCAACTTGTTGGTATCATTCTGCCTGCCATTTGGAAGTAAAGTGTGTTAGGAAGCTGTAGAAAATGTAATGAGAAACTTAAATTAAAGGAGTGTTAGGTTTGTGTGGCAAGGTTTTGGTGATGGGGTGGACTGCAGAGGTGACTTCTGTGAGAAGATGCCAGAAACTTCCCTCAGCTCCACGATGGGACCTGCTGCTGGTCAAGGCTGAGCCCTTCAGCAACACTGGTAGCACCTCTGTGATTACATATTTAAGAAAGTGTAAAAGATACTGCACAGCAGCAGGTGAAAGAGAGGAGTGTGAATGTGAGAGGAACAGCTATGCAAACACCCAGGGCAGGGCAGAAGGAGCGGTAGGAGCTGTTCCAGAGTTGAGATTTCCCTGAGATTCTGTGGTGCAGCCCACAGCGAGATGGCTGAGCCCCTGCAGTCCCTGGAGGGCAGGGGTGGGTGCAGAGATCCACGTGCAGCCCCTGAAGGAGCCCACCCCAGAGCAGGGGGATGTCTGGAGGAGGCTGTGACTCCAAGGGAAGCCTGTGCTGGAGCAGAGTCTGTCCTGGCAGAATCTGTGGAGAGGGGAGCCCTCATTGGAGAAGGACTGCACCTCATAGAAAGGGACTCGTGCTGGAGCACTTCATGAAAAACAACCCTTGCGAAGAACTTATATTGGAGAAATTCTTGAAGGACCTACTTTCCTTTGGAGGGATGCCACACTGGAGCAGGGAAAGCGTGTGAGGAGTCCTCCCCCTGCGGAGGAAAGAGCAGCAGAGACAATGTGAGATGAACTCACCACAACTCCCATTCTCCCTGCTGGATGAGAAAAGGTAGAGAAATTGGGAGTGAAGCTGAGCCTGGGAAGAAGGGAAGGTTGGAGGAAGGTGCTGCAAGACTTGGTTTTATTTGTCATTATACTTCCTAATTTGATTAGCACAAAACTATTTTTTCTCAAGTTGAGTCTGTTTTGCCCATAACAGTAATTGGTGAATGATCTCTTGCTGTCCTGATCTTGACCTGGGAGACTTTTGTTATATTTTCTCTCCCCTGTCCAGTTAAGAAGAGGAAATTACAGAGTGGCTGGATGGGTACCTGCCATTCAGCCAGAGTCAACCTACCATGAGGTTTCTGGAAATTTTTCCCCATCTTTTCTGTCCCAGGAAAATGCATCAGTTGGGTATTTGAAAGAGGAGATGTCCTGGGGAACATACTGGGGTGGTATTCAATAATTCTCTGGGATTTCTCCAGTGCTTTATGCTCTAGCTTCCCTTGGGAGCATGTGCACTGTATTCAAACACACAAAAAACCAATCCCCACACCTCCTTGCCCAACAACAATAAAACCAAGCAAAACCCTTCATGTCTGTGGATGCAGAAGCTGTTACACAAATGTCGTACATCTTCAGTGGAGAGTGTGCTTTCTCTGCAGGTCAGGGGAGTACTTCAAAGCTTATATGAAATTTTTTTATCATTGATTTTAATGGACATGCAGGCATCATAAAAATTTTCACTGGAAGTTGTGGCTATTTTGCTTTCATTTAAAAACAAGCAGAATCAGTCTGTGAAACAGATTTTCTCACTTCTGTTTTTAAAGTTGATAGTATCTTAGGGGTTTTTTTTTCTCTTACTATTTTGAAACTGTGAGCACTAAAGGTCCTTGTGAAAAAAGACTAAACACACATTAAAGGAATAATTTTACCATTCTGTGTGAAGAGTGGATTCAGTGTTCACTCAGCATCTCCCTACTTAGCATGACTCTTTCCATTCTGGTTTCCATGAAAACTTGTTGGTCTTCTTCCAAAGACAATGGTAAGAAGTTTTCTATTTTTTAATGCCAAATGACATGAATTAAATAGTCTTTGTAGGAAATTATGATTGCTTGCATAAATAAATGTGAGTTCATACAGTCCATGTGTCACCACTATACACTGGGACATTGCAAAGTCCATTCAAGAGGAAGCAGTCAGCTTTCTGACTTTTCCCATGGTGTTCGCTAATTGCCACCTGGATCTTCATAAACCAGTTGGTGTAAATCTGACCTGGAGAATTGAGATACCTTCTTTTCCAAATGGTAGAATAATAACATCCTTTTCTCTCTCCCTCCCTTGGAAACAGTTTCAAAGCTACCTCGTAAATTATGTCAAATTCACAGTTATCTTTGGTGAATAAACTATTTATTTTAAAAAGCATTTGATTGGTTCAAATCTCCCACTGAAAAGTGGGTATTCAGAAAGGTCTTGCCTGTGAAATGTGGGTATGTGGCAGATAATACAATCCCAGAGCTGTGAAAGCATCCCCAGTGCTCCTGCAGACCTGACAAATAACGCACAGGGTGCCTTGTTAAACAGAGAGCTAAAGATAACAAATGTAGCACTCTTCTCAGAGCACAGAAAGCAATGCTCTGATTTACGAATGCTCATATTTTATTTCTGTTGTGAAAGCTCTGATCAAGGAAGTCCATGGGAATTCAGATGCTGAGCACCTCATAGCCTCCAACAAAAGATCTACTTTGGTTTCCCCTGCAACAAATCTGTGCCAAGACCCTGCTTATGAATTTGCCCACAGAAAGACATTTTCTTACTGTATGACAAGATCTAATTTAATGTCCCTTCAGTAATGTGTCCTTATTCATTCTAAGAATGTAAGCATTCTTGCTCTGATTTGTCTTCCCCTGGTTAATTTGTTGGTTTGGAAGTAACTGAATCTAGATGATAATAAATTTTATACTGGCATAATGTAATTGTACATGTGGAGTTACCTTAGTTTAACTGCCCTCCCTGCTTTTTAAAGTATCCTATACTTTAAATCTTTTCCACATAGCAGTCTCCATTTTAGGATCAATGTAGACTCATGCATCAATTTCTCCTTAGTGAACCCCCTGAGTACTTGGTGGAAATTTTTCAGGTGTTTTGTGGAGAATCATGGCTTTTCAGTTTTTAGTGATAGACTTGGTTTTAGTTGTTTAATTATAATGTTTTGTTCCCATGAAAAATGTTGCCTTTTTATTATTATATTTAATTTTCTCAAACATGACAGGACCATCTGCATAATTTGTTTCTGGTGGATTGTTTCTCTGTTCTTCTTAAATGTAGCTTATCTTTCATTCAAAGCCTTATCTCTTCTACATGTCTTCTTCAGGCATCTGACCACCTTTTCAGTGAGAGACTGAATTAGATCCAATGAATCTCCTAAGGATGAGGAAATCCTATCCAGAGCAGGCAGAGAGTGAAAAAAGTGGTCCAAAAAGTGACAACAGACAGGAGGCACAGATATTAAATTTTCCTGATATGATTTGGCTTCGCCATGCTTGGAACTTTTTTAAACCACACATGAGCAATATGAATTTTGAAAGTCTTTGAACTGCAAAATCTTCTTTGTGCTACAGTGGGCATGTTGCAAAGGACTCTTGTTCAGCCACATGGAAGAGAAGTACTGCACTACTCTTCTGCATTCACAGAATTGCATTTTTGGTGAGGGCTTTGGTGGTCATGAGAATGTGAGAGTGCACTGGTTTATGTGCTACCTCCTGCAGCTTGTGGGTCTATTTATAGCAGGTGCTGCACCATCAAGAAATAGCAATAATCCACAAACATCCCCCCAACTCTCCAAGACACTTAAAAAGGCTACTTTTTTCACCTAAGTTTCATGTTACTCTCATATTTTTGGGAGGTTTAACAGGTCTTTCTATCTATGATAAAAGAAGGAGGTGAGCTAGTGTTTTCCTCTTGCCTTGTTTTTAAACAGCCCCCGCTTCTGCAAGGGGCATTTTACTTCATAGAATCACGGAGTCATAGAATGCCCTGAGTTGGAAGGGATCCATGAGGATCGCTGAGAGGAATTGTTCTTCATGCTGATGTTTAACCCAAGATAAATAATGAAGGCATGAAAGACAAATTGCCTGTCTTGATTTTTCATTTCATTTTGCTCACCTTTTCATGAAATAAAACATTTCATTTCTGAGCATTTTCAGAAATAAAACAGTGCAGAATTTCACATCCATCCTCTGATATTATGGGTAAAATGCTCCTTCTGTTATGTGCACCAGGTTTCTGTCTCTGTAGCTTATTATAATCTTATGCATTTAAATGGACCTTGATTGGGTGACTGTAATGAGGTGGATGTGCTCAACTCCCATATGGCCTTGCAGAAATATTTTTTTATTTGATCAGCTTCCTATGATTAGTTCTTCAAAATTCAGTACATGGAGGTGAAGGATGATGCTTGGGTGGGTAAGAAGGGACTCTTTTGATGTGGAAAGGCTATAGCAGAGCTGTTGCCACTGGAGAAATCTTTACTTTCTGCCTGAACCATTGCAACAAGAATGAGAGCTATTAGATATTTATGCCACAGCCTGGTCGTGGTCAGTTGTTACTTTTTTCTTTACACCAATAGCATGTCCACAGCTGAGCTGTGGCTCTCAGCTCTTGATCTCAGCCTGCCTTCAAGACAAGCTGACATTTCCTGCCTGGTTTAAATGAATGTTTTCAGAAAAAGCATTTCCTGTGAGCTAGTGTTATCTTTTCAAAGGGTAGATTTACTGTGGTTTACCATTTGTGAGAAAAAAGATGAGCTAGATACAAGTTGAATTGTCTGTGATCAAAGTTTTTTTTTTTTTTTTTGAATGTGTATTTTTGGAACAAATGTACTCCAGCTCCAAGCTGGAGAAGAGCATTTAGTTTGATGAGTTACATTTAATAAGTGTCATTACTTAATCGCTTACACTGAATTATTGATTTTATTGATCTTACTGAATTAAATCCTGCATTCTATATTTAAATGTTTTGCAATAGAATATACAGTCAGCTGCAGCAGTGAAGAAATCAGGGATGTAGGGGCAGAATTTAGATCCAGATTTCTGGCAAGTGGGAGAAGTCTGATGTTTATGTCAAAAATCTGCCTACAACGAGCCAAAAACTTGTAAAACAGGGCTAAAGTTCTGTGTTCAGTCAGTGTTCATCCCTTGCCTGATTTCTGCTGTGTGCACAGTTGATTCTAGGAGGAGCTGTACTAGCTTGTTTTGCCCCCTGAATCACTACTCTGTCTGGATGAGTTTGAAATATCAAAAGCCACAGAATTATTCTATGAAAATGGGTCAACAGCATCCTACAGCTCACTCCTACAGGACTGTCCCTGAAGCTGGTATGGACCTGCCAACCCCTTAAACCACACACCACTCAAAGTGGAGTGAGGGAGGAGGAGGAGATCTTTGGATGTGGAGGCTGTGAAAAATCTCCTTTAGACCTTATTAGGCCACACAGCACAAGACAGAGCAACCTGTCCAAGCCCAAGGAGTTCCTTTCAGTAGCCAAAGGTTTATTGTAAAGATTTTAAAATGTCAGTTCCTCATGTCAGCCTGACTGTCTTGTAGTTCCCTGTCTTGAAGACATTTGCTGCCACCTTTGTTTTGTATCATACTTTTTTGGGACAAACCATTATTGAGTTCAGTGGAGCTGATCTTTGAAAACCAGTCCCATCCTGAGCCTCTTTTCTCTACAGGACTCTCTGCCATGGGATTTCTCCTGTGAACACAGACTCCTGAGCAGACCAAAGTCTGTTCTTTTGAAGTCCAGGCTTGATTGTGATTTTGTTTTTGTATTTTCCCCTTCTTTTCAGGAGCTCCAGCATCTCATGATTACTGCCTGCCTTTACGTCCCTGACCAGTTCTTCTCTGTGTTCTTAAAAATAAATGGACTATAAGAAGAAAAAGGAGGGAAAGGAAATTAAGGAAAGGAGTAGAAAATATTTATGTTTGAAAATTAAGCATATATGTTCCTGGTAGCCTATAAAGTAAAAGTAATCACAAAAATTTTAAGAGAATTATATTTTCAGATTTTAATAACTCTCAGAATTAGCAAAATTAATGATTTGTGAAGTCCCCTGTTTTGAAGATACTATAGTTTCTGTTTTCTGTCTGAAGTCCTGACCTAGCCTTAAGCAAATTTGAGCAACTTTTTTTCTACACAAATCAAAGGTTGGGTGGAAAGACTGATACTGTTGGACAGGTCAATGAAATTGTTGCTGTGGAAAAGGGCTGGCAGTACAAGCATATGATTTTAGTAATGGATTCCACAGATTGAACTTTTTCAATATATTGTCTTGCTCCATGAACATGACATTAGAAATAGCTCAGAGTTTGGTGCAGCCATGGCAGGAACAGGTTGCCATGGTTGTCACTGCAAGTCTGAAATGGTAGAGCTTTGTTCTGGAGTGGAAGAATTCAAGTTTCCTGTGTGGGTCACCACAGTAATTATTTCTCATCTTGTAGTTGCCCCGTTTCAGTCAGAATGGTTGCTTTGCCAGCCCGCAGAGTCACATATGGAGAACAGGACACAGGCACCACCTGTTCTACTGTTACATTTCAGCTTCGTACTGTGGAGTTAAGGTAACCCCCTATCCCGGTAGGTTCCAGCTGGGCTGCGCCCGGTGGACTGCCTTGGCCAGGATAGTCTCAGTGGAGGCTCAGACTTGGTCCGATCTCCCAAGTCATTCCCAGCTGCGGGCAGCCAAGCAAGCTCAAGTGATTTCAGCTCTTTAGTGATTATCAGCTCTGTGTGATTATCAGCTCTTTTGCTTGCTTGTGGCCGTGGCAGCAGATGCAGGGGAGAAGAGGAGAAGCGCTGTATAAGGTTCCGCAGGATTCTTTATGAGGGTGTCCCACGAAGGTTCTCAGTGACAGCGCTTCTGCCGAACCAGGCAGAATTAGGGGTTTTTATACCCTACAGGGGTTTTGAAAACTGTCCAATAGAAAGGGTCAGGGAAAAGTGGCCTTTAGGCTTACAGAGAGATAAGCAGGGTCCGAAAGGCGGAAGAGAGAGGGGCTTCTAAGGCCCGAGTCATCGTGACTTGGCATTTCCTAGCTCAGGCTTCTGACCTCCAAGGAGCCTTGCAGGCCCTGTGCCTGCTACAACCCCCTTCAATTTTCTTGTCCCAATTCTCAAACTCTTGTGTTTTGCTGTGTTGTTAATATAAATAAATAAATGTATATAATTAAGGATGTTGATGTGGATCAAACACACCTGCATTGCTTTCATTGACAGTGCTTGCAGTAAAAGAGAAATGTAATCTGTAAATTATCCCTCTAGAATTGCCTGTTTGCTAAATGAGGAAATTTAATTCCTCACCTTTTTCATCTTGGTCAAACCTAAATTGCTTATTTATGTGATGTGAAGAATGCTAGATGACTTCACTCCCCTGTTGAAGTAAGTTTCCTTCAGTGATTTATGGAGCGTACATCAGAGCAGCAGTTTAACATGAAAGATTGACCTCTTTGTGAGCCATTGTCATTGCTTAAACTATTTTGTATTCCAAAAAGCTGATGTATGACATCATTCCTTATGTATATTACTTTTCTGCTAATAATATGTTCTGTCATTAGAAATTATTCCAAAGTGTTGTGAGGAAAGCTCAACTGACCCTTAGGGAAATCCAGATCCACATCCAGGCTTTGTGGCAGATAGGACTTTTAAATTCCAAGTAAAGCAAAGTTTAAAAAAGCAACACTTAAAAGTATGTGACAGGGATACAAAGGAGCACTTCTCTCTGAATGTGAAACACAGAATTGCCAAGAACAGCGAAGACAAAGAACAGAGGGGAACACGGACATCAAGAATAAAGTCTGTTAATAATGGAAAAGATACATGCATTAGTAAATAAGCTGTCTAGCAGATTTCATGTCTGAATTAGAGATATGCATTTGTATGCTAAAAGTTTTCCTTTCTGTCCTGCTGTTTGAGATTGGGTAGGATTGGCAGTTCAAGGTAGGTTAAAGTTGCAGATTTGCAGCTCCGACAGAGTGATCTAAGAACTTCTGTTGGTGCTGTATCAAAACACTCATGGTATTTGGACTTCCCTTCAGATAGAAACCTAAGTTGTGACTAATCAATAAGCCCCTATAATGGGGTG